ATCTTCGAAAACCCAGCACCGATCTAGCGTAACTCCGAATTTCCCGTGGCGAGGACTTAATGAAACAGATATTGTTTTAAAAACGATCATTAAGAACCAATCTTCTTCGGTTCCTTCTTTCTCGTGTTTATTTTTCTTGGTAAGCCTGAAGATTTTGTTGTTGCGGGCGTTCCCTCTCTCGCCTCCAAATAGCGTGTATGTAATCAACCACAACTCTCCTTTCCCTGTCCTTTTTGCTTCCGTGCCCCTTATTAGTTGAGCAATGTCTGCTGTTTTTTCCCTTTTCCTTCTCTCAGTCCCAGATTCCCCCTCATCCCCCCCTGTCAGAGCATCTATCAATGTGGTGTCGATCACAGCGGCGGCGGCTTCTCTTTCATCTTCCTCCCCCTGCCAGAGAGCGGGAGGGAGAGAGGAAGGCGGAAAGGAGGTGGGGGGAGAAATTGGCTGGGGAAGAGGAGTGGGTGGAGGGGGGAGGAGGGCGCGAGGGAAGAGATACTTAGATGATGAAGTTAAGCCACTCAGGTGAAGTTTGTCAATTTCACGCCGACAAAGCGAGTCTCTAAGTGGGTTGCAAGCAGCACCCTATTCTTCCTGTCCTTTCCAAGTTGCCTGACCCATCCCTACACACACACACTCACACTCAAACTCACACCCACCCAAACTAGGACTCGTCCTACAGGCTCTGGGGAAAGGGGGGGGGGAGCCTCAATCACCACCTCCTTCTCGCACCCCCCTCCTCCACCCCCCTCTGGAGAGGGCAGCCAAGAACTGGCGGCGGGGGCGGGGAGGGGGGAGGAGAAGCGACGCAAGTGGGTAGCTTTTCAGCGCCGGCGAGGCGCGGGAGGAGGAGAAGCGGTGGGGAGGCGCAGCCGCTCACCTGCGGGGCAGGGCGCGGAGGAGCCACCCGGGCAGAGAGCTCTGGAGCCCAGGAGCCGGGACGCGCCCGGAGCCCCGCACGCGGCCAAGCTCGGGCCTCCTCTGCCCAACCAACCCGAGGGGCGCAGTTATTTGCTTTGACCGAGTGGGCCCTGCGGAGGCGTGGAGAGCGGCAAGAAAGCCAGCGAGCCAGGCTGAGAAACTCGAGCCGGGAACAAAGAGGAGCCGCTGTGTGTGGGTGTGTGTGTGAGTGCGTGTGCGTGTTTGTCGGCTAGAATTCGGGCAGTTTCTGCTTTGGGGACCGAGGCCCCTGGTGCGACTCCTCGAGACCCGCCGCGCTCTCCACCGCCGCGCCCCAGTGCTGGCCAGCACAAACTTCACTCTTGGCAAACTTCTTTCTCTTCCCCTCCTACTCCGCCCCCCCTTTCTCCTCCCCCTCCGGCAGATTAAATGCGCCTGGAGGAGGAAAACCTGAGCGAAAGGGAAGGAAATAAGAAGCTCTAAAACGGACACCTCCAACCAGAGTCGCTCTTTTCTTTTTTAAACCCTCCAGAACGTGGACATTGCGTTATCTTCTGCTTCTCCTGGCGCCTCGCCGCCGCTGGGACACACGGAGGCTTTTTGTCTGGACTCCCTTCTCTTTGCTCGGAAAACAAACTCCCAAGTCGGCGTCTCGGGGAGACTCGGTGGAGAGGTTTGCGCCGTGACGCGCAGTCGGATCCCCGCCTCTACTCTGGCGAGGCGACCCTCGGGCAGAACCAGCGCGCCCCGTGCGC